TCTTTAATTTGGCTTTCTGAAGAAAAGACATACGTAGTATATGAATAAGAAATAACTCGTCTTTGCACTGTTTCTAGTTTTGGATTCCTATGTTTATTGTTTTGCATACTATAAAACCATCGCGATTACAATTTTGAACTAAAAACATGTCCAGCGTTACACGTCACACCACAAAATTTAGTTGGTGCTTGTTTCAGGTACAACTTTATTTTATAATATGATTTTTTAGATCGAACTTTTATCATATTGCAGTACGAAATATTAAAGGGTCTATCATTCCAACACCATACATTTTTTCATGTATGATTTTTATGTAAAATAAGAATTCTCCATTCATTAAACTCATCCCACATAATAGAAGTTTTATCATATCTTTGACCTCTAACTTTGGACAACCATTATTCATAGGGGTGGGATCGGTCCGGTCCGCATCGGGTTTTTGCTAAACCCGGAAATTACCCGTAAGGTCTCGGGTTATGAAAATTGAGGACCAAAACAAAGCCCACTATATTCGGCCCGAGTCGGGTTTTTTGTAGCCCGGGTTCGGTCCGGGTTTGGGTTGGTTCTGTTAAAGCCTGAATGTGAAATCATCTCATTTTTATTTTTTTTATTTTAAAATTTATTTTTAAATAAAATTAATCAAAAGTTAAAACCGCAAATAATAACACAAATATTAGTCTCCAAAATCACCAAGAATTCAAATCCAAAGAAGACAATCATCCTGATATGTCATTTAAGATGCATAAAAATTAATAATATTGGTTTTCTAAAAATGTTACGAAATAAAATTTATGGATAAAAATATTACTAAAGTTACTATAAATATGTTTTCATGGTCATTACGGTAAATAAATTGAACATATTTGTAGTAACTAAAAGTTATTAAGTCATTTTTTTCGTCCACCATGATCATAATCATATATTAGAAATTAATTTATAAATTATATTGGTATATTATATTGATTTAATATTAAAGTTAATTGTTTTCGGGTTTTATTGGTTCGGGACGGATAATAGATTTTAGGGCCCGTTAAATAATCCGAAATTTCGGGTTTGGTCCGGGTTTTTTTATCCGGGTCGGTCCAAAAGAAAAACCCGGGCCAATATCATAATTCGGACCGGGCCAGTGTCAGTTTCCGGGTTTCGGTTCGTTTTTTCCCACCCCTAATATTTATTCATACTTTGGCAAAAAGTCATCAATGTCAATGTTAAGAACAGTATAGTGAGTTAACAACACATCTGACTGCAAGGAGTTAGTCGATTACAACTTCGTGATCATTTACATTTCCCACTACAATTGTTTTATGTTTTACGACAAAACTATCCCTATCCATAATATGCAATAGTTATTTTTTTTGTTCGGATGGAGGGCACAAGTTTTTATCAGAAGTAATAATACGGAGTACTAAATTTCGGAGTCGGAAATGGGGACACTTGCCCCCCTAGGACCCCTAGGTCCTCCACTGGCGAGGGCCGCAGGGGATAGTTTCCGGTCGGCGAATTCATTCACCGTTCTTCATTATGTTTCACACTTTCAATTGTTTGAGGTGTTCTGTTCTTACCTTTAATTGATGCATCAATATTTTTTAATTGTTAATTTTGAATTCTTCTACATCTTGTAAATTATAATTTATAAATTTATAATATTTCCTAGAATTGAATTTGGATATGAAGACGTAAGAAGAAGAAGATACTAAGAGTTGATTTTGTCAAAAAAGGAGCTTTTGAAAATTTTAATTGCAAAAGAGGTACTTAAGGGATTGGATTTGGTTGCAATTGAGACCCCGGGAGAGAATTTCGATCATATCAAGACATTATAGAAGACTTTATTTCAATGATCTATAGCATTGTTTATTTTTGGGAAAATGAAATTAATAATCCAACCTTTTAGCGGTCTTCTTACAATAATCCAACTTTTTGGTTATTCATGAATAATCCAACATTTGCACCTCATCTTCATTCACTGGTCCCTGACCGGTTGATGACCTGCTATTCCAAGCTATTTTCTTATCTTTACAAATCATTATACCATAAATCTCATCTTTCACAAAGATAATATTTTGCAAAGATAAGAAAATAACTTGGAATAGTAGGTCATTAACCGACCAGGGACCAATGAATGAAGATGGGGTGCAAAGGTTGGATTATTCGTGAATAATCAAAAGGTGGGATTATTGAAAGAAGACCGCTAAAAGGTTTGATTATTTAGTTTCTATTTTCCCTTTATTTTTTAGCAATGGTCTAGCATTGTTTAAATAAGTGTTATTGAATTTCAAGACTTAATTGATGCTCTTGGATTATTACATCGATAAGTAAATTGCATTTTAGTATGAAGTATTGTTATAAAATTCGATATTACTTTTTTTGTGTGTTATATACATTAGGGCCTATGATTTTTATTTTGAACCGGGCCCTCAATTTGTCCGGGCCGGCCTTGCTCATTCTTCACTGCAAAGTCATATTGACAGATTGAGAGTGGAATGTGGTATGTAATTTTTACGAGAGTAAGGATAAAAAATAATATGGAGGAGTAAATAATTTTTAACATGATTATCACTTGATATGATACAAAAACCAACCAATCTTATGACATATCCTCCTAAGACCATTTGGAGGGGTAAGAGTCTACAAAGCTAAAATATGGTTTTCTAAAACAGTGTTTAGACCCCGTCAATAATGATTTTCTAAAAACACCACCACTACATATAGTCTAAGGGACAATAAATCAAAATAAAGGGAAATAAAGCGGATCTACCAAAGGGACTTTTCTTTTTCCAATCAGGTAAAGATGTGATTATATAGACTAAAAACACTCCAACAAATGAATTTTTCGTTTTGCAACAAATGGAACCTTAGAGGTAGCCCTTCGGCCCTCTTGTCAAATACTCAAATGTCCTGCAGTACTTTGGAGATGAAGAGTTTATGGCAAACAAGATAATTTAAACATGGGCCATGGTGCAGACGTTAAATGAAATAGAAGGCCCAAAATCTATATCTATATTTTTATTTTTATTATACATACTCCTTCCGTCCCAAAAAGGTTGGCCAAATTTCCTTTTTTGGATGTCCCAAAAGGATTTGTCATTTCCATTTAAAGGAATACGTGGTCAAAGTTAATTTTCTCTCCTCTGTACAAATTTCAACCACACAATTTTTATTTTATTGATTCACGTGAAAGTCAACTTTGGCCGACCTTTTCAGGACGGAGGAGTATAAAAATGAACCGGAACGACTGTTAAAAAGGTGTTCCCGCCCTGGAATAATCGTTTGCGATTGTGTGCATCTCATCACGGTGAAATAAAACTATACACGTACAAAAAATCACATTGAACTGCAAAGTACGCAGTTAAATAAGAATTTTGCTATTACGTACTCCTTCCGTCCCGCAAAGATGTTCCCGGTTTGACCTACACACATATTAAGGAAATAAACTTACCAGTGGGTAAATTTTACTGTTTTGACACTATTTGGCACTGTTTTGCACTGTTTGGCACTGTTTTGATGTAGATGACTTGTCATTTAAGGAAAGGAGAACTTCTTTTTGGGACATCCAAATAAGGAAAGTGGGAACTTCTTTGCGGGACGGAGGGAGTATATAACTGCTTTTTCCATGGGTGAGTCACTGAGTGTATAAATCAATAGACCTATATATGAAGCAGTGCAACCCGTTAGAATCTAAAACAAATTTTAATTTATCAATAGCACTATAGCAGATTAGCAGCACAAATGAACTAATGAAGTGGAGTTCTCCATTCATTCTCTGTAATCTCTGCCTCGAAATAGTTTTTAAAACGTCATCATGTACTTCGTATATATCAATTTATGCTTTTATGATATCCATTCATTCATTCATTAGTTTTGTTTTGTTGTAGGGTTACTCCGATCCGTGGCCTTATGTGATTCGGCATCATTTTTGAGCTTTCGGAGAACCGCGAAATAAAGAAGGATGAAAACATCAATAATGTTAAGGAGCAACAACATCTTAATTACTTCATCGGACTATGACTTTAACAGAGCAGTCAATCTGTAATATAAAAAGGTCCAAAATCTATATTTGTACAACGACTTTAACATTTTAAATTGTACAACTTGGAAAATGCAAGATAGGGTATATAGATCTGTGCATCGCATGGGTAAGATACCTGTTAGACAAGAAAAGACAATAATAAAGTAATTAGATGAAAAATATAAGAACCCCAATGCAATTCATCTCCATAGAGCTTTTCCACGAGATCATTTTAATCTAGCGCAAGAGCATGCAGCTAGCAATCTAATCGAATAAGCATCCACTACTTCATCAAATTAATTTGACTAGAACGCAATAAATACTCCGTAACTCATTTGAGAAAGCCAAGTAGGTTACCATCTTATGACATCGAATCATCGTTAATCTCCTAAGGTTGAGATCATAAATTCGAGTCTCGTCCCTATTAAGGATGTTGTCATTAACATGAACAGATACTATAATAAGTTAGAAAATATATTTATAAAAAACATTTAACAAAGTTGTATTATCCTCTAGTTAATCAGTTCTATTAAAAAAAATCAACTAAATTTGCATTGGCAGTATATACATACAAATTACTCTCCGTTTAGTTAATTAGTTACTTTCTCCGTTCTATTTTAATCATCCTACATTTTTCTTTTTGGATTGACCCAAAATGGTGTCATGCTTCTTTTTATGACAAGAAATATGTGGTATCTATCAATTTAATTTATTCTATTTAAATATCAATAACAAATTTTACTTTTCAATCACTTGATTAATAATCATGTCAAATTAAAACTGACAAACAAACAGTATGAAACCAATGTACCACACTACGTACGTATTACTTAGTCGGTTGTACTTCGTATTCTATTGTACTAAAGCCATCAAAGGTCGACACATGCTGAAAAGCTCACACACCAAAACACTTCTTTTGATACGTAATTTGTTCTCTTTCAACGTGGAACATTATTGCAATCACTTGATATTGCAATTCGGAATAGTTATGCGTTGTCCATCGTTGACTCGAAAGTAGATAAGCACAAGCAAATTGAAGTTTATACTCCCTGTTAATTATTGATTTCATTGGACTTTTCAACTAATTGAAAACTGGGAATTGCAAAGAAAGAGTGATTGAACCACCCCGGGGCCACCGTGTGTGTATAAAAGGAACGAGGATGAAGCAAACACATTATTCTAAACACAGGAATTAAACAAAATGGCAAATCTCCAAATCATATTCACTTGTTCATCAATTCTAGCCTTTTCTCTTCTTTTCGCGGCGGTTTCCGGCTATTCCCATGAATATTGGTGCCGTCAAACCCCTTATCCTCGCCAATGTGAGTACTACTTGAGAGATTATCCGCCTATAAAGAATAAATCAGATTTCCTCAAAATTTCTTTGAAAGTGGCCCTTAACATCGCAGAGCAAGCTAAAGCCCACGCCACCTCTTTAGGCCCTAAATGCCACAGCGAGCGCGAAAAGGCTGCATGGACGGATTGCATAGAGTTGTACGAGAACTTGGTCGAGAGGATCAACATAACCGCTGATCCTCCCACCAAGTGCAGCGTATCCGATAAGCAAACTTGGCTTAGTGCCGCCTTGACCAACTTCGAGACGTGTTTGAATGGGTTCAATGACCTAAACGTCACGGGCAACATATTGCCCGTGTTGTCATCAAACAACGTGTCATGTTTGATTTGCAACACATTAGCCCTCAACAAAGATCACACAAATATTGATGATACCACCATGTATAGAGATGGTTTCCCCACTTGGGTTAAGCCGGGAGACCGGAAACTGTTGCAGTCGTCATCAGCGGCCTCGCAAGCGAATCTTGTGGTGGCGAAAGACGGGTCCGGGAACTATAAGACGGTTTCTGAAGCCGTAGCTGCAGCGGGGAAACGATCCGGAACCGGGAGATACGTCATATATGTGAAGGCCGGAGTGTATAGTGAAAACGTGCAAATTGGGAGCAAGTTAACGAATATCATGCTACTCGGTGATGGAATTGGAAAAACAATTATCACCGGAAGTAAAAGTGTAGGAGGCGGCACCACCACCTTCAATTCCGCCACTGTTGGTAAGCCAATTATATATTAACCTTTTGTTTAATCTTTAACAATTTCAAATTCCTCATATGAAACTCAAAAACTATAAAAGCTAGCACAAAGTAGATAATAAGACAAATTGTTGACGTCTCGTGTCGGTTCGATATAAACAACGGAGTATGAGTAATATGCTACGGAATATGTTCCACCGACATACTACGTACTATATGTCTATATATATACCAGTCATGTATTTATTCTACATACTCCCTCCATCCCTTTTTATTTAGTCAAACAATATTTCTTAAATTAATGATGTTTAACTTTGACCAATTATATATTTACACATTATAATATTGATAATATGAAAATTATATGAAAATGTTCTTTGTTAAAAGTAGTATAAATTTATTAAGATTTACATAAATATACTCCATATTAGTTAAAATAATGGATCAAAGTTTATCATCTTTGACTAAAAAAGTTAAAGTTGGCTAAATAAAAAGGGATGAAGGTAGTTTTTATTCTACTATATATACCAGTCATATTTATTCTACGTACTATATATACGAGTCATATTTTTTTATGAAATATAGTTTAAATTAAAAATGATTTTACTAAAAATCATCATTCAAAATTTGTTTACATTGACATACGTAGTACAAATTATAAGATCGTGAACTCAATTATCCTTTCATTACCACATGTTAATGTATGTATATGGTACTACTTCCGTGCTAGTGTGCTACACAAACGTTTTCTTCCAGTATTATTCGGTCAATATAAATTTTTCTTAATCTTTAATATCATATATCTAACTTTTATCAAATTTGTGTTTAGTTAAACATGTAAATTTTATTAGTAAACCAATCTAATTACGGACATGGATCAGTATAATTTATGGTCACTCAAATATCATTAATCGTGTGTGAACCTTTCTACGGAACCAGAGGGAGTATCAAACACTAGAACGTTTATTTTTGTATATTTTCAGTGTAATTAACTCTAAGCAACTTGCGATTTGTTACTTTTTTAGCTGTGGTTGGAGATGGATTTATTGGTCAAGGAATAACATTCAGAAACACCGCGGGAGCTGCAAACCACCAGGCGGTGGCCCTAAGGTCCGGCTCTGATCTATCGGTGTTCTACCAGTGCAGCTTCGAAGGGTACCAAGACACTCTCTACGTTTACACTGACCGACAATTCTACCGGAATTGCGACATTTACGGGACCGTAGACTTCATCTTCGGCAACGCCGCCGTCGTCATCCAAAACTGCAACATCTATGCTCGAAACCCTCCCGCCGGGACCAACACGATCACCGCCCAGGGCCGGACCGACCCGAACCAGAACACCGGTATATCCATCCACGACAGCACAGTCGCGGCAGCTTCGGGCCTGTCGGGGTCCGCGAAGACATACCTCGGACGGCCGTGGAAACAATACTCCCGGACCGTCTTCATGAAGACTTCCCTGGGTAGCTTGATTGCTCCGGCGGGGTGGTTGCCGTGGAGCGGGACGTTTGCTCTGAGCACTCTCTACTACGGCGAGTATGCCAATACTGGGGCGGGGGCGTCGACGAGCAACCGAGTGAAATGGGCCGGGTATCACGTGATCACTTCCGCGACGGAGGCTTCCAAGTTCACCGTCGCCAACTTCATCGGCGGTAACTCGTGGTTGCCCGCCACCAAAGTGCCGTTCACTTCTGGCCTCTAAGCTCTAAAATTAAAGCGGTGTTATAGATGCATGAACTTTTTTCGTATAATGTTGTCCCCATTTTTTCGAATAATGTTAATGTTGTATACAGAATGTTTAAAAACAGACATTGCAAAATGTATTAAATATCTACTATCTAGTACCCATACGACGTATATATTCTCGTCGAGTTGTAAACTTTGATATTTCAAAGTATCCGAAATAAATTTCAATGCGTATAATTTAGTAATGATTTTCTTATTAATTTACGGGTTCTTCTACCGTACCACCATAAATTTCACGGGTTTTGGTACCCATATTTCTTAGCCAATCAGAATAAAAGAAATTCACACGTCATATCCGTTAATAAACTATACTCGGACTTTTTGTTATTATTATAATTTAGTTACGCATCATGGTTTTACTAACACTAATTCTCGGTCTTTTTATTACTTTATACAAGACATATATACACACACTATACACGGAGTATGTATATAGATATATGGAGAAAATTACGCAATTAATATTTTTCTTTTCAATATACCGAGTACTTTTTTAAATTCATCAAAAAGAAATTCTTGTTGCAGTGGTCTCAATACACACACAGTATAAACTATGTATATATAGTAGAACTTCCTACCAGAACCGCCGTCTGGTCACCTATTTGAGGTGATTTCGTGTGGAAATTTTGATAAAATTGTTTCCAGTAAATTTCAACTAAAAACTCAATTGGAAAGTCGATTAAAAAAATTCGAAAATAAATGCAATCTATTTAAGAAAACACAGTATTGTAAAAAATTATTTAACCGAATCCTCGATTGAATTTTTATCTCAAATTTGGGGACATAATCTAGGCCTTTTCCATGAAGATTAATCCGTACTGTTTTAAAAGACAAACATATGGCGTATTTTAAAATTTTCCATAAAAGTGACATATTCAATTATTCACTTATGACTATGAAATGCACTATAGTGATTCTTGTGCAATTATTCGAACACCGTGAGTCAATGACTAGTCATATTTTTGTCCAAAAATATAAACAATCAAATTTTTATCCAGAAAATTCTGTTAGTACTTAGTATGTAATATATACGTAGTATATCATTTTCCCATAATTTATACTTCATGTATGAGTAGTATGCTCATAAAATTCCATAAAAACAATCTCCCGAAAGCACCTCAATATGAGGTGGCCTAACGGCGGTCCTGTCCGGAAATTCCGAAATCAAAATATGTGTTAATTGTGTGTTGTACTCTCTCTGTCCTGCAATGAAGTTTCCGATTTGACCTACACCCATATTTATGCAAGGTAGAGTTTTTTGTTTCGACTTTCCAAGTTTACCCTTACTTTATGTCAAATCAAACAAAAGTGGGTAAAAAATAAGGGCAGTTGTGACTTTTGGAAATGAGAACTTTATTTTGGGACATGCATAAAAGAAAAGTATGAACTTCTTTACGGGATGGAGGTAGTAAACTAGTAATTATCACGGAGTACAGTACAAAACTTTTTAAACTGTTTTTACGCAGTTAATTTTATCTCCTAAAATATACTACGTATAAACAAGATTTTGAATGTTTTGTCTCTGAATTTTAATTATTTTGTGGGGAAGGTTTTTTTTGTTTCATCTCATGACTCTAAATATATATATTATCGGGGCTTTTTTCCTTCTTCTAAGGACTGAAACTGTAAATATAATTATACGGAATAATATACGGAGTAATGAAGAAAAGATAAGTAAGGAAGTGATGTGGCAAATCTTTGCACCGTGATTCGTTCGTAGAACTTGGGTGTACCGAAACCTTTCAAATTTGTGTAGGCACCGTAGAAATTTCCTTAATTTGCTCTAAAATAAAATATTCGGAGTACTAATTGGTGTTGTACCCTTGTACTAAACAGTTCAAATGTCGTCACATATTAAGATTGTTATGACTTGTCAATTAATAATTAAATGGAGAATATTACCCGAAATAGGACTAAAAAGATTTGAAAATTCCAAAATAGGACTGTCGTGTTTTTATTCCTAAAATAGAACTAATTACTGTCATGTTTTGGCAGTATCAGACTTCAAACTTGGCAGTATTTTCCAAACTTTGCAGTAATTACTCCTATTTTGGGAATAAAAAACATGACAGTCCTATTTTGGAATTTCCAAATTGTTTTGGTCCTATTTCGGGAACTTTCCCTAGAAAAATTGCCTCATATAGGAGTAAAACTTGGGAGAAATTCTTAAATAGGAGTATGTATGTTTTCTTCCCCAAATAGGATCATATTACTCCTATTGAAAACATACAAACTTTTCAATTCCATTCTTGCCCCTGCTATATTTAACCCAAGATCAATCTACTCTTACGCACCATCCTTCTCTCTCCTCTCCCCTTCTCTGTCGGTCAATTTCTTTTCCCCTGCAAAGATCGTTGGCTTCTTTTTCTCTACAAATCAGACGGGTCAACTTCTTCTCAACACGATGTCATTTATGTTGCCACTGCACGCTGCCTACAAATCATGTTTCTTCTCCTTCTCCTAATCTTCCTCCTCCTTCCTCCTCCTATTATTCTATTTTTCAGATTTTTCTTCAATTTCTCTATTATTTGAGTTTTAGAATTAAATTTGTTGATTTTAGGACTTATATTTCGTATTTCCATTTTTTAATTTCTCACACTTTTCTGCTTTTCTCAATTTTTGTATGATGGCATAAATTTTTGCCAAGTTTATTGTAACACCGTCCCCAAATATTTTACTTTTAAGTGAATAATGTATTGAACCTTATGGAATGGTTAATGAAGTTACGAAGATGTGAATTTTTATTAATGCTTTTGCGTGAATAGTAAATTTGCACGTGGGGCCCACACCGCGAGCAGGGACTGCCCAATATTCCCGAGACCATATATTTTATTCATCTTGGTCGAGATAATATTTATATAGTGGTGGATAATTCATTTGGGCCAAAGAAAAGACATAATGTGGACCGATTGGTCAAAAGTGGCTCAATTACCGGTTTTGGTAATTTCACAGATAACAGCCCGAAATGAATTTCGGAGGCTTATAAATTAAAGTTGGGGAATATATATTCATTATAAGGGCCATAATGATTGATAACGTGTAATATATTTTATTTGACCCGATAAAATAAAATATATCTAAAACAGTCCGAAAATTAAAATACAACTTTCGGGGCCGAATGTACACTTTGAGACACAAAGGGATGACCTCCCACATGAGTGGGGGCCACCCCACATTTTTGTGTGTTGAATTAGACAAGGGAAGGGCTGGGTTGACAAAGGAAAGAGGGTGGAAGAGATGCTTTTGGCATCTAAGTACAAAGAATGGCCCTCTCCCTCACTCATTTAATTTGTCAAAGGAGACAAAAAGGAGTCATCCTCTCCCTCCCCTATTGAGGTAATGACCTTATCATAACATTTTCTTTATTTTTCTTCTATCATATGAGATATATATCATATGAAGAACCCTTAGGATTGTTCTACATGATATGAGTGTGGATTAATGGGTTGGAAAGTGGTTATATGTCCAAGAACGGACTTAGAGGCCAAAACGACCGGTTCGCCGGAAAATAACCTTTTTGGGGTTATTTGTATTAATATGGGTTTTATGATTATAAAAACTTGATTAGGAACTTGTATAAGGTGTTCAAGAGCTTTCACGGAGTTGAAAGAGTCGCCGGAGTTGACGCCGGAGTTCATCAAAAGTCGTCGGAGTTTCGCCGGAGTTCAACCAAAAAGAGTAGAACTTCATAGCGCTAATTCGAGGTGAGGATGACCGACTATATTGCTTATAATTATTGGGTTAATTTCATAAGATTACCTAAATGAACTAAATATGTTTGGCATGGATTATTAAAAATTAATAATGCCTAAATGAAGTTTTTACTGATTATAAGTAAAGAATGCATAATATACAAATTTATGATAAATTGTGTATGATTATGTGTTATAAATATGATGGCATGATGGTTCCTCTAACCATAAAGTTTATTGTGATTAATGTACTTTTACTTCATGTAAAGAAGTCATGAAGGTATAAAGTGACATTTGATACTAAAGACAACTTGTACTTGGATGAGGGATTAAATTGAAATGAACAAATGACTATGAATTAAGAATTCGGTTGTACTAAGGTCAATTGACTAGTATTGAAATACTAGTCGGGAGGATAGTTCGAATAATCGTTAGAACTAATCCTAAGATATTAAATTTGTGATGAGTATGCCCTAAGTGACCTTAAGGGGATAATTTAAAGATGGACTTTATGAGCTCCAAGTAACATTAGGAGTAGGCCTTAAGGTTACTCAAAATGGATGGAGTCTATACTAGGAAATTGTTTAAAGATTAGATAACGTGACTATGAGCCGAGCTCTAGCACGTGGTAGTATGACTATGAGCCGAGCTCTAGCAAAATGTAGTATGATTATGAGCCGAGCTCTAGCAAAATGTAGTATGACTATGAGCCGAGCTCTAGCAAAATGTAGTGTGATTATGAGCCGAGCTCTAGCAAAATTGTAGTATGACTATGAGCCGAGCTCTGGCATGAAAGAACGTGGGTTAACTATAATATAATAACACTCTAGATTGAGGGTCTTGGAAATTGAAACATTGATAATACTTAGTATAGTTGTCGTTGTACTTTTCAAATGCTTCAAAGTACCGACCTCCCCTTCACAGGGGAGGCCACCTCATAGTTTCAGGTAGAACTTGAAGATTGCTACCACCGCCGTTGCTTCAGAAGAGTTTAACGAGAGAAGACGTGGTTCGTGCTTCCTCCGTTCCTGTTTTAAAAACACTTACATATAATGCTCATGGATATTATTTTCTTCTGAATAATTATTTGAAGGCTTGCATGCCTAATTTGCCGAGTGTGGCTAAACACTTGTAATATCGTTTCCGCTGCTTTAATGAATGAATTTTACATTATGTTGGTTTATAGATGTACTATGTGTGAATGATATTCCAGACGCCTCGTATAGTATGAATGGGTTGAACTGCGGTTGACTATTCGTAATGTACGACGGGTTGTTGACGTGTCCGGTAGGTCCGGGGCGTGACATTTATGGCATAAATGTACACAATTGTATTATGACAAAATTTTGGTGTAAATTGGTCTTCTGATTTTTATCATTTACATCTTGTTTTTGATTGAGCTGGATTTGTTAAAGTGATTGTTTCATTTTGTTAAACCGCAATTTAGCTATTCACTTCATATTTTGCCAAGATTATGGCAGATTTGTGCAAATCTGCCAAGAAAAATCTGCCAACATTTTGACAGATTTAAAAATTCATTTTCATGGCAGATTTGTAATTAATCTTCAGGGATAAATCTCTTAACTTCATGGCAGATTAA